TTTTGTTATCAGTAACAACACGACAAACCATCGTTGCTTTGCTGAGGAAAAGCAGTTAAAAACATGACGTGCATTTTCTGTGCTCCAGGTATAAACCACATGGCCATCACAAAGAAATCCTCAGCGATGTGTTTTTGTGTTCTTTCTTGTGCATATTTTGAGTATTTTCAGACTAAATACCTGGACTTGTATCTGCCTATTTGCTGCAAAACAGCAGTTTTTCTCATATGAAACTTGGTGATACACTTGAAGTTACAGGACAATCTATTCCACAAGAAGGATTTTCCCACCTGCAATATGCATAATGGAAATTATTCATTCTTTTTCAATTCAGTGTGGGTGTGTTCATGGTGAACTTTGGGTGGATGTCTGGGCGTCAGCTCAAAAAGCATCATGTCAGCTCCAGTCATGTTAGAGCCTGTCTTTCAGTAAGTGGATGTCTTTGCTTTAAGCTTCCTGTCATCGGATCTTGCATGACTTATTTTCATTGGCAACGAAGCAACACATGCACACTATTTAAGAGCAAAAAGCAAGTCATTAAAGTGAGACTGTTTATTTACACTTTTAAATCCCCATTATCCTGAAAAAGTAGAGAAGGCTGGAAAACTGGACCCAAGTTGTGCTTAAGGCAACAGTCAGAAGATAAGTGTGACTTGGGTGTGACCGTAAAGCCAGGGCTTGGTTTGAGGCCGTGGCTGCATGACAGGGCGGATGATAATACTTGTCACTCAGTGCATCATCTATTTCCTCAGTCCTCTCTTGGTCCTCTTTGACCTGTTGAAAAGAAGAAGCGTTCGTGATTCAGACACAACTGATGTGGCACAAATCGTAGCGAGGTTGCACGGTTACATTTTGAAATCTTCCTGCAGCCTGTTCAAAAATAACAGTGACATCATGTTCTTTCACTTTATCTCTGACAGGTATGACAGATGACCAAACCCAGCCAGCTCGCCGAGTTAGGACGGCTGTGAGATTGTGAGATTGTGAATACACAATATTTGGTGACACTGCAGGGAACTGAAAAAAAAGCTTTTCCACTTGGGCCTCAGAGACAGTCGTTTCTTAACAAAAAGCTTCCCCCACAAACATGAATCACAGACGAAGGGATTCATGCAAAACTCTGTCAAGTCGCTCTGAGGGAGATGCACGACCGTTCAGGGCTTTCACTCATAGCTGCAACTAAAAGTCAGCCTCTCCTCACTCATCTCTTTGGCCAGTGGTGACCTGCTGCTTTGTCCACACTTGCTCTTTTCTTGAGCACTCATTTAATTATGTTAATATGTTATGTTATTATAATTATTATGACTATGACTTTTGGTGCTCATAACTTCTATACTTTTTGAGATATTGAAATTTTTTTTGCAATATTTTTTGCCCATTTCTGCCATCTCATCAGTGGC